ACCATATTAATTTTATGTACTATATGACTTGCTTTCCCCTTTTGACTCTGTAAAACTAGCATTACTATATTTCAGTGTTAAGGAAAGAGGACACTCCCTAGAGCGGTAGGTGGTGGTGAATTAAAGCACTTTGCATCAATGTCGGATGTTTTACGCATGCAGTGTACTACACTTCGCCTGTTTTTCTATATCAGTGTCAAAATAAAAAGTGATATGGCCTAAAATAATCAATGTTGTTCTTGCAATGTGGAGTTTGCGCCGTGGGCGAGCCGGATGCAGGCTCGGGTTAGCCTGTGGTTGTTCAGAAGGACTGCTGATCGGGGCAGCGAGCTGGACCGGTCCGGTCCGAGGCGGTACCGACACTCAGACATCCGCCTCTTCTGTCGAGTGATCACAACACTCAGTTTCTTCCGGGCGGAGATTTTAGGACCAAAAATAAAAAATCTGAGAAGTGCAAAAGCAAGATATCAAATGTTATATGTAAAAAATATATAATTGGGTCATATAATTTACTTCATTATCTCTGCCAGTTAATTGTTTTTTTTTTCTGTTTGTGATTTGTTTTCTCTTGTATATGTTTGTGCTCCTCTAATTCTATTTGTAAATTCTTTATACATTTCATAAAAATAATTTAAAAAAAAAAGATGTCAGGACCAAAAAACAACACACATGTATTACACCAGCAAAACAATAATCTAACATGTTTTGCAAGCGTAAGAAAAAATCTCATGGGGTGAATATTTTTTTCAGAAAACGGTTTCATTGCGTTTTCCTTTTCACTCCGTTGAATTTTTAGAGAATGCAAACCCCTTCATACAGTTATTGGCTTCTCCGTCCGGTAGGTTCAGCCTGTCTCGGTCTATTGATTAGACACGCCCGGAAGGGGCGGCGGTTTCGGGGTGAAGCTCAGGTTGCTGGTCTGTTTGCACGAAGGGACGGAGAAGCGATCCGATCTGCCTCCGAGCTCGCAGAGACCCTCTCCAGAAACGTGCATCTCACG